GAGTCCTACCAAGGATCACAGTGCAACTTCGGCCGAGAACTCCCCTTCGCCGGAATTCCAGTGGGAAGGATAAATCATCTCTTCAATCTCTTCAGCTTCTGGAGAGCAAGTGTTGCCAAACTTCCTGAAGTTGACCACACCCAGTCCAAATATGTCCAAATTACATTCAAAACCAGCTCTGGCAGTTTCCATGCTTGGTTGTTGAAGCAGCAAGGAGCCGAAGACAAAGACTACTCTTGCACAAACTAACATAGAACCTGGGAATTGACCAGGAGAAGACCATTTTCCTCTTCAACTCGGTTGTTTTTGGGGTTCCATGTGGTCCCCTGCAGGCGAGTAAATAGGGGCTGCGGTGTCCGACACACCCATCTGGTCCAGCCAGAATCTTCCACACTTCTCAAGGGATCAAAGAGTGTCCTTCAGAGCATCAATGCCTCAGGAGGGGCCAAAGGGAAGAAACACTGGACGTACAGGTGCAGGAACTTCCACATGCGTGCTTTCGACACCAACAAACTCCAAGAGATGTGGGACGACAATCGTCTTAGTGTAGGGTCATGGTCACCAGCGCCAACGTTAAACAAAGGTGCTGCTGGCGTCAGAAAGCTGTGCCCAGCGTCAACATACAAAACAATCAATCAGTCACCACACCCCAGGCAGTGCGTCCTGTCTTTCGATTGTCAGGGTCTCTAAAGTCTCAAAGTAGTGGGGCAAGGAACCTGCTGTCGGCTCACTGCACTTTCATTCCCAAACACTCCATGGGACTGCCATATTTGCTGCCCCATTGACCCCTCAAACCACCACCCCTGGCCGTTTCTCGGCAGTCCTATGGCAGTCCTATGGGTCGTGTTTGGGATTGATTCCTTCGATGTTGGCGATTAGTTTCTTCGCAGAACTCGTTACAGACCTACCCTTGTTCCACCACTATGGTCCGTCCGGCTGAGGGCAAACGGTCTGACTCCCTCAGTGTCTCTGGAAAAAAGCTTTTACCGTAAAACTAAACCATGAATGTTTACCAATGGAGATTTCAAGCTAGGTTTAACCCTTTGAGACTCCTTCAATCCTTTGCTACACGGGAGAGGGGTGAGTGCGTTTGTTTACACACCCTATAGGGCTCCAGTCGTACCTTCTCAGAAGGTGGGACTGGGGTGAGTTCAAAGGGTTCAGTCATACCGAACCTGAGGAGGTATGACTGGAGCCCTAAAAACATCACGGCTCCACTGATTTTGGCTCCACTGATTCAAACACTCCATGGATCTCCATGGGACTGGCATATATGGCGCCCCATTGACCCCCCCAAAGCACCACCCCTGGCCGTTTCTCGGCAGTCCTATGGAGTGTGTGGGACTGATTTGGGATGAAAATTGCCTTCACCTCCTTCACTCCTACACCTTTCCATCACCCGATGCCCAGCACCCGATGCCGCGACTCGCAGACCCTCCCGTCCCATCCATGGCGGGACCTCGCCGCACGCCTTCCCACCGCGTCCCAGGCGCGAAGGATGGTGGTCATCCCGGCGCAGGCCAAGCCCTCGGTGATCGGCCAGTGCTGCCGCGCCGTGCGGTAGATCTCCTGGGGCGGGGTGCCGAGGTCCAGGGGGGCGGCGGACAGTGAGGAAGTCGGTGCACGAGATCCAGGGCTGATTCACTGTATGTACAGTGCCCAGTTATGGATTATCACTTCTCAATCAACCAACCGACCAGCTAAAGTGGTACCAAGTGGAGAAGCTGTTAGAGGTGAAAGGTGCCACTGCTAGTACTGACCAATGTTTGAGTTTTCGAGGGTCTTGAAGAATCTGATCGCGTTGGCAGGACAAAAGGAATGCAACAACATACCACCCTCCAAGAGGTGTCTATTTCTAGCCCCAAACAGCTGCCTTAGCTGTGATTCGGGGTGTCCATTAATCACCCCGACTGGGGGTCCTGGTAATAAGCAGTATGTTTTGCAATTTGTTGGTTTCACCCGGTCAAGGCTAAATCATACTACCAGCAGTCACAGTCAACGGGGTGCTATCCATGGAGGTAGTCGGGGTGCCCAGCTACTCCACTCACTGGCTGGGACTAAACACCATCCCGACATGTGACTCCTGGTTCTTGAACCGTGCTTTCCATCTGTGCATCTGTTCATCCTCCCTAGGGCTTCTGGCCCATCTCCTCAGGTTCGGTGGGTAGAGCCCCCCTGGCATCCACCCCAGTCCCCTCACTGACTTCTCACGAAGGAGCCAAGCGGTCGCACTTTGACTCCAGTCGATCGGTTGGCGGATCCCACAGGCTGGAGTCCAAGACATGCGATCGCAGTCCCTGCCAGTCCCACTAGCTGATCCAGCTAGTTGCACCAGCTGATTCAGCTTGGTTCATGTGCCTATTGATGATTAGCTATCCCGTATCCCCTCTGTAAATAGACCAACTGCTAAGCAAAAGCCCATCTATGGCACCAGCTCATACATAAGCTTCTTCATGCTACTGCATGAATATCGTGCAACTTGGTTCAACCAATCTTGACATGCTCCAAAGAGCACGTATGACGTACACCATGCGAGTTGGGTGCTTCTTGCAAACCAACCAGCCAATGTATTGATTTATAATGGATGGTGTGAATTTCGCAACAACCAACAACACTCGCTACAAGTCAAAGACATCATTTTATTGGAGATGGTCACACACACAAAAAAAAACTATTCAAGAAGGTAAAGGACCAGGCTTGGACCTGGGTCAGACTAGACTTGTAGGATCTTGTAGGGACTGGTGAAAGTAAAGTTGCGCATGTCACCCTGGCGCTCCTTGCAGCCTGGCGCTCCCAGGCTTCTAAACATGCTGGCTTTGTGGTACCCGCCGGGAAACAGGTGTTTGTCTGGCATTTCCCTCGGGGCCTATGACAAACACGCTGTTTTTCTTGCCTGTGTGGTACCAAATACACCAAACACCCGAAGGTCCCCACCGGAAGCTCGACTCTAGTGCTCGGCCGCCGTGTCCCGAAGGTCGGCCGCCGTCGGAGGTTGCCGTCGGATTCTTCCGTGTCAAGCCAAGACACCGCCAGGATCCGCATGGTATTGTAGGGGTCCGCTGCCCCAGCCTGTGTTCCCCGCTGTCCCATGCGGGACAGCGCGACAAAAGGGTGATGTTAGAGTTGCCCACTAGAAAAAGAAACACAATAGACTAATAATGACTAATACTGATACTGCAAACACTTTAAACTTAAAAGCAAACTATAGGTCAACGTTCTGGAGGATAAGCCACAGGTCGCAGTGTTTTGTCCAGTTACAGTCGCTTCTGAGTCTGACATGAACCCTTGGCGCCTTTTGCATCAGCGCAGGTCCATAGTAGACCAAAATAGCTGGACCTTTCCTGGGCGTTTCCCAAATGCATGGGCCTCCTTGCCTAAATGCCTCACTGACCTCAACAAAAAGTGGCTTATGGATGGTTTATAGATGCTTATAGTTTATAGTTTGTCGTAATATGTTGCACTATACCCCGTGAAAGTGAACAAAAGTCGGAAACGATCCAGCACTGCCACGTTTTCTACAGTGCTGAAACCATGTCCACTGATTCGACGTAGCAAGTGGGGAAGCCGCCAACATCGTCCAAAACACCTTGCACTATCTTACACTCTTGGTCAAAATGTAGACTCTTGATGAATAACCCCCTTATGAAGAGGTTTACAAATTCAATTGGTCGGGTTTATTCATTATGCCAGTCCCGTGGAGTGTCTAACTGAATATTTGGGTCTATCTCATTGTCAGTAACAGTGGAGGATGATGGTTAGTAGAGGCCTTTTCATCTCAAAAATATATAGATCATCTTTTACTGACTGTTACTGGCAATGGGCTACACCCTAAGTATACCGAGTATGCCATGGAGGGTCCCTCTATACAACAACCAACTCTCTACTCCTGGTCCCATGCCCTGTCTGCCACTGGCCAGTCCAATCGATCAGTTCGTGTGGTTGATTTCAGAGAGTCAATGCAGGCATATGTTGACATACAATCTGCCCTAACATTGCAAGAACCATATGGTTTGGGAATTGGCAAGGCATGTTTGTTCCACAGAGGGATTCCGAAGTGAGCATGATGAGGTCAACACTCCCTGTGCCCCTTCAGCTTCCTGGCCCGCCATTGATTGAGTAGTCTTTACCAAGCATCCATTGTTTTACCAAGGATCTTAGACTACAGAACCAGATCAACCATTCTTTTAGTCTTAGAAGGACGCATCCTTCAACAGCCCAACGTCCGATTCCAAGCATCGGCTTCTGCGGATGCAGCGAGAAGGCTTGGTCTTGGCAGCCTGCCAGAAGGCTTGGTCGTGTCAGGTCAGACGTGATGCGACTTTTGCGCTTCTGGCAGGGCGAAATTCATACCCATGGCCCATGTGCCTCAAATGCCACTCTTCAGGAAGCAGTGGTTGCCCTCGTTTAGTTGCCGTGGTCCCATGTGCAAGGAGTGTGATCACATGGGTAGATGGATTAGCTCCCAGGAAGCTGGAAAAACATACAGTGGTTTCAGAGTAGATGGCACAATCCCCTATAAAGGCGGCTTTCTATAGATCCTAATATAAAGGACATCTTTGGGTTTGTGCCATCTACTCTGAAACCAGTGTATGTTGGAGCCCTACCTATAGAGATACATCCACAGCATTGATCCGCACTTTTGAATGGAAACCATCTGGCCGCGCTGGCAAGGGAAACCACCCCACTGTGGAGGAATCAATTTGAACGCCCGCGGCAGGCGTGTCTGAAACATGTGAAGCAAGGTTGGGCAGCAAAGTCACTGTGCTTGAACAAAAGAGTTCTACATACTTTGATTGTCGAAACTGCGATGTTCTTGAGAGTTCTTGAGGATCACTCCCCATCCAAAAGGGTCGTCTTAAGCAATCAACATCTACCGCCCAACCCTGTTCAACCTACACAGACCTGGAAGCAGGTCGGCCCAGCGCTCTGTCAACCTACGGTCAGACCGTTCGTACCGTCGGACGCTTCAGCCGCGGGCCAGCGTGACCCGCCCCAGCGGATCACTGAATCGAATCCAGCCATTGGATCAATGGTTCCACCATGGTCTCCTAGCGCCACCATGGTCGTTCCACGAGCGGGACCGGCCACGGCACGGCACAGGGTCGGACCGCGCGCGGACGGTCGACAGGAGGAAGACATGGATTCCCCAGTTCTGGGGTGTTCAACCCTAGAGAAAATAAAACCTCACTCTACTGAAAGCAAAACCAATGACTTTCAAGTTGCTATGCCATGAAGTGCGATATGAAGTGCGACCAAACATGCTACCGAACGCCGAACTTGGTGTCAAGTACTCGCTGTGGCCTGGTATGATGTATGGTTGGGGAACTCTGGGTTCTCACCTTCTCAACATTACTCTGCTGAGAAAACTAACACAAACCCCGAAAACCCACTGGTTCAAAGGACAACTGGGTGCCATTCGACCCGAGTCCACTGGTAACACTGAAACATACTGAATCACTGGAACCATTCAAGTCTTGAAAACACTGAAACAACTACACAGTCTTTCGGTTGGTTGGTTTTCGGGAGTGTACTACTTGAACACTTTAACTTTAACAGGCTCCACAGAGCCCTCCGTACCCACCGGTGTTCCCACGGGGCAGCTTAAGTTCAGGTTGAAAGGGTCAGTCACTGAGTGGCCAATGACTTCGGACTGAAGAAGTTCAAGTGTTTTCAAGCTGCGGTCACAGGATCAACTCATGCCCGGCTTGATCTGTAGTGGAATGTGATGATGAACAACTTTGTTTCTTCTGGAGTGGTCTTGAATCTCACCCAGTTCTTCGTGTATGTATTACCGCATCAAACGATGTCATCAACCCTGAAACTGAATCAACTAGTTCCAGAACAGCAAACCATCACCTGAACTGGTTTGAACTCATCATGGTTACGTGGAGTTCACCACCTGTTGGTAGAGGATAAAAGGATCATGGTCATACATTGGGTCTATCCTATTAGCTGTAACAATGGGCTGGATGATGATGGTTCGGTTGGAATACCACCACCTGTTGGTAGAGGATAACAGGATAATGGTCATACAAGAGGTCCTGCCATCCACTTCCATGATTAGATCAGGGAGTGTCACGGGTCTCCCTTGTTTCTCGCTCCTGCCATCCAGGATCGATGAAGCAATGCGCTTGATTCGGCACGATGCGCTCGGTGGCGCAGGGGAAGTAGCGGTGGAAGATAGGGTTCAGCAACCTGCAAAAAAAAGAACACAAGCAGGTGCCAGGTGCATTCAGCTTTGTCTTGGGCAGCGCTCTGAGATATACTAATTGGTACGTTGTAGTAGTGCACTTTGCTCTTGGTGTGGCATTCTTGCATCTGTTTAGTCCCAAGACTAAAAGGAGAGCCCAACATTTGCTAGAAATCAACAAGCAACCTTAAGTCAGTGAAACCATGACAACTGATACCTAGCTTGGGTGTCCGGACTCTCTGCATGGTAGCCAGGAACCCGGTTCCTGGACCATTCCTTTTTGGTGGCTCATGAAACCGTATACCTTGGATTTGCTGTCGATTCGGAACCGGGAAGCCATTCGATTCGGAACCGGTTTTCAACTCAGGTCACCCGATCGGCAGACCCAGCTGAACCTCTGGGGGTCCGCCAGGTGACCCCGAACTCAAGGTGCCGGAGGCTTCAAACGGTACAGGTCCGTGTTTTTGTGTGTGTTCAGCGCCCATTCCGACCGCTCGGAGCCGTGCGCTGCGAACGCGCCTGGGTGGATAGATCACATCCTGGTGCAGGCGCCCTCCACGGTGTGAACACAGACCCTTTCCACCCCAAGCCCCCAAGCCCCGTAGAAGAACTATGCAAAGCTTTCCCCAAGACCAGTTTCAAGAAAAAACATAGCTGAAACTGTTTGTAGAAACGCATGCATACTTGTTTGGACCCCTTCATAGTGACATTAACAGACTTAGATGGACAAGTAAAATTCAATGTTGATAATTGTCTTGGGACACTGACCTATTACAGGTACATCCGCACTCAGCTTGTGACCCGAGCATCCTCCTCCGCGCCCAAGACCAGCACCGGCAGAGACGCGCGATGCGCGAAGCTCGGGCGGAGCCAGAAGGGATGCTCCGTGGTGGGCCAGCCGTCGCCTAACGAGTCGTGGGTCCGTTTCATCTCAGAACCCGGAGGTCTTCGAGCCCATCGAAACACAAAGAACATATCTTGAACACAACTTGGAAAGAATAGAACATAACATGATTGATATTATATATAAGCATCTTGAAACTGGAAGCACTTGACATATATAAATAATATAGTATAAATACATCTATCCCCGCAAACTATAAGCCTCTTGACATAGAATAATTTTGTTTGATCTGCAATCCCCACCATCCATCCGATCGGCATCTTCGTCTGTATCCAATACTAGTTGTGTTTGTGTCTACCGTCTGTAATCGGGACAATTGATTGGCAAACGCGTACTTCAATGCACTCCGACTCACCTAGATGGAAGTGAAGTGGCGGACTCAGGAGGCTACAGTGCGCCAGAAAGGGTGAAGGTCCGATGTTCACTCCTCATTTTGATGGGAAGGTCCATCAATCAAGCCACGCAAACCCAGACGCGACTAATGGGACTGCCATAGGACTGCCGATCAATTGACCCAACCACCCCAATGTAGGCATATATGGCATACATGGAGCTTCTGGGAAATGGATCCATCTCCAACCCCGAACGCCAAGACACAGGGCGCTGCAAGGATCTTTTCCACCTCACAGTCCATGTCCCAGGCACCAGGATGAAAACACCATGTGGTCATTCAACTAAACATGGAAAGCGGTGAGGTTGAAAAAACAAAGGTCTTGATAAGTTGATTCATCTATGTACATGAGTACATGTATATACATCCTTAGGGATCCGGTCGTACCTTCTCAGGTACGGTGAGGACGGAGACACTGTGACATGTAGGTTTGCAGTGTCCAGTCGTACCGAACCTGAGAAGGTAATTACTTGGATTTGTAGGGCATATTTAATTACAGTTTATAATCATTTATGTGTACACATACGTTACTACATATGTTCCATATCCGTGACCGCATAGCTGCCTCCAACCATCGACTCATTTTGGGGGGCCAATCCTCCAAACAGTCCTGGAGGGATCGGGACTGGACTGGCACACCGGCTATGCATACATTGGAGTGGTTTCAGGGGTCAATCTATGCAAATATGCCATACATGAAGTGGCTTCAGGATGTAGATTCAGGGAACATCTGCAAACCCAGAAACCTTGCTTCCCTTGAAACCCTGGGATTCCTTTTCGGAGTGAAAGCCATGGTTTCCTCTAGATTTTCCCAAACAAACAAATTTCTGGGATGGATTCGGCTTCAAATCAGGAGCCAAGGACTCTACCATCCTGTCTGGGTGTCCTGGCTGGACCACCGACACACTACTTACTATAGGCGTATAGGCTTCCAAACAGGGCATCCAAACAGGAAGGTCCAGGAAGGTTCTGACAGCTGAAAGGCTGAAAGGTTTAGTCCTTGGAATCAACTATTATATGTTCACCATGCTTTATACTTGACAACTAAGCTACCTCGGATACCATTTACATCTGGTCAGCTACTAGTTTGATACTAGCAACTGCGTCGTAACAAGCCCCTGGTTGAAAAACAAGGATCCGAAGATGCCAGCCAAACTCATCGGGTTATATTGGACAACCTACCAGGGGCCCGAACCAAACTATGAACACTTGAGGCCAGAGGGGGTGAACGAAAGCTAGCCGGGCTTCCGGTGGTCTGCTGCTGGTGCTGCTGCTGCCGCTGCTGCGCTGGGCGCTGCTGCGCTGGGTGCTCTGCAGGCGCCGGGTCGTCTGCTGCTGCTGCTGCTGCTGCTGCTGGCGCTGGGTGGTCTGCTGCGGCTGCTGCTGCCGCGGCGTTGGGTATGCTGCTGCTGCTGCTGCCGCTGCTGCGCTGGGCGCTGCAGATGCTTGGTGTGCTGCAGCTGCTTGGTGGTCCCGCTCACCGCGCGCAGGGGGGAGTCGAACCGCGGGGGGGGGGGGGGCCATAAGATTGATTTAATCAATTATTTGAGGTTTCTGAGGTGCGTCCACCCCGTCACTTAACTTGCTAAAGCAAGAGCAACTCCAGCTAGCTAAGGCTAGCTTTCGTGAATAGTGGTGTTGTGCCATTCCATCCAGTGGAGGACATTCAAGTCCAAAAACGGTACGACGCATCCTGTCGCATGCCTACGCCTACGAGGCCATCCGCAGCGACGCTGCACGATCAGACCACACAATGCTCGTCTGACCACCCTATGCTCGTCTTCAGCTGTCCGGTATGCTGCGCTTATGTGTGCTTTTTGCCATTCCAACCTCTTACCTGAGCATGGCTAGTAACCCTAGGGATCCAAGTACCTTCTCAGGTACGGTGATTGGAGACTATGTATGTAGGTTTGGAGTTCCCAGTCGTACCTTCTGAGAAGGTAATTACTTGGATCCCTAGGGTAAGTCGGTAAGTCCCTAAATTCCGGACCACCACGTGCATTGACAAGTCTTAATAAGCCAAGCATGGAGAACCCAACGGAAAAATACGGAAAACACCATAAGATCAGTACGAGTTTTGCTGCTCAAGTACGATGCTTTGCCAACCGTCAGTGAATGTAATCTTGAGGACCATCCATTCATTGGCCACTATCAATCTGGTGGTTTCCTCCTCCATGTCTTCCCCCATGTTATGATTTTATTGGATTTGCTTAAGGAACCTGGGAAATTAAAACATATCCACTACCCTCCAAAAAGGGGTTTACCCATAGGGAAAATTTTAAAAATATCGCCTGATCCGCAAAACCAGGTTTTGATGAGTTTTGATCACAAACTTGTCCAAGCTAGACACGCGGGGAAACAACATGAAACGACCAAAAGAGGGCACTGGAACTCCAAAAACTAAAAAATTGAGACCCCAAACCCCTCCAGAGGATTCGGGTCCGACCCCTCCATATGAGGGCCCAGGGTCGCGTCTGGGCAGTGGTTTTTCAGCATTGTCCACTTCCATGCGAGCGCCAATGTTTGGAGCGCCAAGCTGCATATTTGGCTTTGCCGCCGTCAAATCCTTCCACGGCCTGCCCGCTTGGGCAGCGATTGAAACCACTAAGAGCTTGGTAGTGGCAAGTGGCAAGCCACCACGGGCACAGCGTCTAAAGAAACTCAAAAACAACCAGGCTCATGCGTTCTTGAGAGGCTCTATCTAATTGTACTAGAGGCTCTAGAGGCTCTATGGATCTCTATGGCCCGTTCTTGAGAGGCGCTAGAGGCTCAGTCTAAAGAAACTCAAGTCTGTTCTAATTGAGGCTCTAGGGGCGTAGGTAGAAAATGTTGCGTTGATGCATCATCCCTATGGATCCACATACCTTCTCAGAAGGTCACTGGGCCCCCCGTGACGCCTACATAAATAGTCTCCGTCCTCACCGTACCTGAGGTTCGGTGGCAGTGGATCCATAGGGCATGATACATCCGGCAGGTGAGGAGGATGCCAAGCCCACCACAGCCCTGGGGCGCTTCGCGCGCACGCTCTCGCTTCGCGCGCGTGCACTCTCCTCGGTGGTCGGCAGCAGGAACAGGCGCTGCACAAGGGAGGCATCCCACACGCGGCCGGTGAAGAGGTAGTACACAAAGGCCACCAAACCTCGGTCTCCAGGGTCTCGATGCTTCAGTCTGCAGCCACTGGCAAAAACACTGTCGGAGGGTGCTGTGGACCTGGTAAGTTGGACCTCAGAAATGGCTGTGGACCTTGAGAAACCGAGAAAAGCCGGTTGATCTCGAATCGAATTAACACCAAACACTCCATGGCACTGCCATATATATGCCCACATTGAACCCTGAAAAACCACCCCACTGGTATGGTGTCATATGGCAGTCCCAAACGGGTCGTGTCTGGGATCTGTTGGAGGGTGCTGTGGACGTACAGGTCAGTTGGACCTCAGAAATGGCTGTGGACTGAGAAAAGTCGGTTGACCTCGAATCGGATGAACCGAATAAACGACCAATAGGAGAGGCCCACAGCCACATCTAACCCAGGACCAGCCCGACTGATGTCTCGAAATAGACTTCACATGGTAACAAACAATGAACATCTTCTGTTTAATCTACAAGTTTGACAAACAATATAAACAACACAAACACATAAAACATCATAAAACCACCAAACGACCCTAAACCAAACAATAATCAAATGAATCAAGTAAGCCAAGCAGTCGCTTCGTCTTCAAACAAGCAGTCGCACGGAAAAAAAAGGAACGATACCAACGCGGATTGATCCGCAGGTTACGAACGGCCCCAGTCCAATGCAGTCGGCTCCAGTCCAATGCAGTCCAAGGCACCATATTCTTTGAACACCTGAGTGGTGGTCTGAGCACCAGGTATTACCCATGTCATTTTAAGCACCCGACTCAGAAAAGATCACCACCTGGCACCTTTTGAAGTCTCCACTTGTCGTTTTTAACCTTCGCCATATAGGTTAAGAGGCATGTCTGGGGGTTTGAAACAAAAATCTTTCTAAACAATCGCTGGTCACATTGGTCTTGTGGCTCATCATTGCCATCCCAGCGCCCAACGAACTGATGGGCACGGTGGCACTCAGCACGGCACCCTGCACATGCAACGAGGCGTCCTCCAGCGCTGTGCCACGGAGCAACGTTTGCAGCAAAATGCCACCTTGACCTCGTTTGGGTGTGGGCCAAGAGCTCATTGATAATCCCTGAGAACCTCTCTTGAGTAAGCGGTTCTCACATGATCAACTCCAGTAAAATGAGGTCCAACTGACCTGCTGGGCAAGGTTTCGGTTGACATCCCTTACAAACTAATGGAATCGGTTTATTTGACCCAGGGTGGAAAGGGATACAGCAAGCTGTTTCCAGCGGTTTTGTTTGATCATCTTCTGGAATGTACTTATCATTTTCTGGCATCTGCAGCCATCTCAGCCAATGTCATTATCTGGGATCAATTCTGGTATTAACTTGGAACCTGAAAACCCCTGGCTTGTAGAGGAAACATGGTCTTCCAGTCGGTTCCATGCCATCAGGTTCCTTGCCTATCTTCCCGGGTGCCGTGTGTAAGCATGTTCTGCCCAAACGCTCCGTTCACAGCCCGACTGGTCCCTCAAAACCTAAGGAATTGAGACCCCAGACCCCTCCAGAGGATTCGGGGCCGACCCCTCCAGAGGATTCGGGGCCGAACGGGTCGCGTCTGGGTGGGATGAATTGATCCAGCCCAGTGACCCGCGGAACCACCCTCACCACGCCGCCCCGGAACCGCCATCCCCCCGGAACCGCCCATTTGCCGGGTGAGAGCCGGCGCTCTATGTGATTCCAAAGCCGGAGCACTTGGAGACCTAGGGATCAAACAATATATTGGTCCTACCACTGCCGGAGTACTTGAGAACTCCGGTTCTATTTTAGACCTATAGGGATACCGGGATAGGTCCTTTTACCAAAAAACAATATAATTGTTGTCATTATGAATTACAGGTTCTGACCACCGGACGGCAGGCCATTCATGCTCTTGGCGCAGCACCAACCAATACCAACCATGGGTCCCAATACGTAAAAGTAGATTCTCCCGGAGTCACAAACAACCCAGTGCATCCCAGGCAAACCACTAGTAGTAAAGAACCACGGATTCGTTCGGCCTATGGTTTTAGTCGAACTGGAACCACTGGGACTCCCAGCGACATCGTGGGAACTGCCGACGGATGCCCTGGGCAAAGTAAACACCTGCTGCACCTCTTCTAGTGGGTTCCTTTGTTCTACGTCTGTTCGTCGACCCAATGGACCCCGGTGGACCCTGACAGCCAAAAAGGATGTTTTCCACCCATTTCCCAGACGAGACTGTGACTGGAAAAAGACACCGTCGCATGGACCCCGGTGGAGAAAAGGAGGTTGAACCCAAACCAAACAAAGGGGACTGGAAAAAAGACACCTACTACATGGATCGGGCATGTATCACTGTAGAACTATTCCATACATGAATGTTCTGGGACATGAACACTAGGCGGTGCGTCAACAGGAGCGGATTGGAGGCCGGGGAGCTAGGGAAAGGGATTGAACAAATAAATCCCAGACGCTCCATGTATACCATATATGCCTTGACCACCCTGGCCCCACCCCAACTGATGGGCAAATATGGCAGTCCCATGGAGTGTCTGGGAATTGAAGTATATCTCTTTGCGGAATGAACATGGTGCTGACCAGGCTCAGGCATCCCGTACAAAAATGGCAGGGCATGGACCCCCCTGCTCTCTCCCAGCCACAGAGCAGCTACCCGGTTTTGCCGCACTCTTTGAAAACAAGCCAACGCCATGTGCTTTGAGCTCTTGTGGTTTGTGAGCTCTTGAACCGTTCAGGATTGGTAGGTCGCACTGCCCAAGTCGTGGGCAAAGAACACAACAGCAAAAATATGTCAAATAATATGTCAAATATCAACACACCTGAGCACAAATCTTGCACAGATCGCGCACATCTTCGCCTTTTAGCAGTCGCTTCAGAAGTCGTGCCAAAGTCTTGCAAGTGATGTTGCATTGAGAGCCCATGGGAAAGTCAAACTCCCCGCGGCCGTCTGTACAAATGCATTCAGTGCACCTCCTTGTCGAGGTGATCCTACAAAAAAGGTCTGGCTCAGTAGAAGATCTCAATAACACGCGTCACACGATGCACATGTCGATGCACATGTCGAATCTTGGTATCAATCTGATCCCTAGGGACTTCTTTTGTGCACAAATGGCCACAGGGTGCATAGTAGCACACCTCTAAGCCCTGAAAGTTGCCATGACGGCATCGGAGCACCCGAGTGACACGCGCACTCATCCAGGTTCGGTAGGTGTTGCTCCATGCGTGCACTGGATCATTGACAGCAAAGTGATGCGGCATTCTTTGCAAAGCGGTCTGCGCCGGGCGAGTCTTGTTCGGCACTTGAGTTGCTTGAGCCAGCTGAGCAGTCCCATGGTCATGAGTTAAGGGTGTGTCTCACAGTAAGGAGTAAGGGGGTCACTCGCCAATAGATTTACTAATTATCGCACTCTCAAAACCACAAACACCCTTTGCTTTTCAATTGTTGTGAGATTTTGTGAGCTCTTGAACCTATTTGTCGCACTGCCCAAGTCGTGGGCAAAGTGTCCACAAAGGAGCCCCATTTCCACGGGTCCTATATAGTACGGATCACGCTTAATTTATACATCTATATGGGGAGACCCCTGGCAGACCGCAAACCCTGAGCCTTTGGGTGGTCTTTAAAGAAAACACGTTCAAGTGAGTAACTAGGACCACCCAACGGTCCAATATGCCAATCCCTAGGCCTCCAAGTACCTTCTGAGAAGGTGTTTGGGGTGGGTTTGGAGGGTCCAGTCATACCTTCTGAGGAGGTACTTGGAGGTGTAGGGAATATACTCATTCTGCGATGCAGTCTGCACTTTCGTCGTGGGGCACCTCTGGAGGACCAGCATGCCTAGGATTCCAACAGATCCAACATCATCCATGCAAATGGACATCTTCCCTACATGGATGGGGTCCTGTTGATACCGTATGTATACAAATGAAATACATCTACTCCACTCCCATGGATGCTACCCGACTTCTGGACCAACCCCGAACCAAACCGCCCCAAACCGTTGATAAACCAAGTCTCGACACCCAAACCGTTCGTTCGTTCGCCCCGTCCGCTCGTTCGTCCAACAAAGACACCGGGCCGAAGAGACCCAGACACGACCCTTCTGGGACTGCCATAGGACTGCCGATCAGGCCAGGGGTTTTGCCAGAGGGGTCTGGCTTGATCGGCAGTCCTGTGGCAGTCCCAGAAGGGTCGTGTTTGGGAGAGGTGGTTCACGTGACCGTCTTCGTTAGGACCCGGGTTACCCTGGGGTGTACCCAACGTCCTTCAGTCTCGGTCTGAAGGAAGTGGCTTTCATGCGACTGCAGGACCCGACGACAAGGACGGCCCGGATTGGCCGTTGACAAAGACACCCTTCTCTGGAAGTGTATATACGTATAAGGTCTACTCACCCCTCTGGCCGACCATCCGAAGGTCCGCTCCTCTTCTTCAACCAATGCTGTTTCCGCACCGAGCTGCTGTGTCCCAGCAAGACCACCTGCTGCAGCTGCCCCAGCTGCCGCAGCTCCGTCAGCGCCGAGACCGCCCGGCGCAGCAGCTCCGCGGCGAAGCAGCCGCGCGCGCTGGGCAGGTCCAGGGCATAGGAGCTGAAGCCGCGCCTCGGTACGTGGGTCGTCCGCGGGCTATGCCGCGGGAAGGGTAAGGGTGGCATGAAGATGGGTGGAAGTTTCTGGCTGAAGCCTGTGAAAAGTGTACTGCCAAAATGGGGATTTCCAGAACGGAAGAGAAGCCTAACTAGAAGTCTACTGCAACGAAAGTTTACTGCAAACATTGGATTGTTGCATGACATGTCCAGAATGGATTGAACATCTATTATACACTGGGTGGTCATCTCCGCATTTCCAAGCAGGTCGCATCAGATCAAGGTCATTCTGACTCTTCGAGTCGAACCGTCGACGGAGCGGCCGGGCGACGGAGCTCTCCACAGCTGAGTCACAGCGAGTCTCATATGAGGAGTTCGGGGCGGGTTTCGGGCGATTGCGCAACAAACATGAAATCCCTATCAGTCCAAAGACCCAGTAAAATGAGGTCGACTTGACTTCTATAGAACAAGCTTTTGATGTGGTTGCATGTTTCGTCTACTATATAGTAGTCTACTATATATATATATATCCCTAGGGCTCCAGTCGTACCTCCTGAAACACAGGTATGACTGGACCTTCTAGGCCCACCTCAAACACCTTCTCAAAAGGTATCTGGAGCCCTAGGGTAGATTTTGTCTTGTTACATGCAAAACTTCTGGTACACTCCGACTCACTAACATGGAAGTGGAAAACCCACTGTTTGTAGAGGAAAGCAAGAGACCATTTTCCACTTCCATGTTAGTGAGCCAGAGTGTACCCAACATAGTGGAAGGGCTGCCGGTCTTGGCGCATAGATCTTCGAACAGTCCGCCAGATGTGTGTGGTATATGGGTCTTTCAAAGCTGGACTACCTGGCTTGACCACCAAAAAACGATGAACGGAATAGGCAACTAGACATGGGCCTGGTTGCAGGCCAGGCTCCGTCTCAAAAAAAGAAACGGAAAGGCTGCCCATACGTATATGTTGGAGTCCCAGCCAGGTATGGCTTCTTGGACATGTTGAAGCTGTGGGGTCCCTCCTTAATTTGGTTTCAGAAACAGATTTAGTTGTTGAACGCTAGGAGTCCAAGTACCTCCTCAGAAGGTATTTGGACATATTTGGAGCCTCCTGGCACCTACCCCAGTCCCACCTTCTTAGAAGGTACGACTGGAGCCCAAACGGGGAAGTGATACACATAGACTACCGAAGTGGTGGGGGGGGTCCCACGGAGTTCGCCTGGGTCCAGACCAACCAAAACCATGGTCTGCTTCGTGTTTTTGTATCCCGTTTGGGATCCGTTTTCGTACCGAACCTCAGGTACGGTGATGTGTTTGGCACTGTTATGTAGGTGCCTGGGTCGGGTCCAGTCGTACCGAACCTGAGGTTCGGTACGAAAACGGATCCCTATCGGGTATGTTTTTGTATGAGCAACTCCAGTCAAGAAAGGTCTGTTCCTGACCTGTAGGTACCTGGGTCCGACGACTTTCCCCCAACGCAGAGAAGAACTGCTTTCGCCGGGAAAAGACCGGTAGATTCGGGTGATCGCCTTTCTCTGCTTGTTCGATGTGATTTGTCCTGAAGTAAATCCAAGAGGTATAGGAATCAAATTACCTGGTCTATACCTGTCGTTGGTACATTCTGTCTCAACGAGTTCTTTCTAGACTTCTAGACGGGCGACTTGCTTCCCAACTCCCCAACTCGTGAGTGCTGGCTTTCCTGAAATCATCCCCCAGCCTTCAAAGACCATTAAACCCTATGGATCCACATACCTTCTCAGAAGGTAATTGGACCCTCCAAGTCTACATAAATAGTCTCCAATGACCTTCTCAGAAGGGATCCATAGGGAAAAGAATGGTTGACCTGGTTTGTAGTGTTAAAATCCTGGTTGTCTGACCAAATTGATAACAAGGCAATGGTTATTGGAAGCCGGATGCGTACATGAAAGCCTCAGAATCGGAGCCCGCATTCCGGACAAACATCTCTGCCCAGGACACTTGGAGAGCAGCGTTTGCAGCGTCTGGCAAATTCTCAAGGAGGGGTCGAACCAAAAGAGTTACACTCCCCACAACAATCATGGGAGTGCATGGCTGGCATGGCATGGCCCCTGAAAAGACTCCGACTCCATATCAGTGTTTCTTGCAGGGAGGGTACGGGGGGGTCTGTTGAGTCCGGACAGAACATCAACTAGCAAGTGGATGAGCTATAGGCATTGGGGATTCCGCTTAGCAGCTACTCTAACTCTAACTCGCTCAGATTTCCTGCAAAAAAAGGGGAAAGCATCACACGGTTCGCCCTCTTTCACCTCTTCTCTCTCTAGTGGGGACCACCCCCCGTCCGGTCCGTTCTCCCCCCCCATCCATTCCGTCCATTCATTCGGTCTTCCCCACATGAGATGCGATCCCAAGATCCCAACGTGTCGCGCGGGCTCCGAATGGTAGCCAGAAGCTATCCCCAGTCCCACGGCCTCTCTGGGACTGGAATGATTTGCACAAAGAACCGGCCAAGAAACACATCAACCACCCCAAGGAAACCATCCGCAAAACCATTCCATGGGGCACTCGACGGATGTAAAAATGCCAGTCCCATTTGGGTGCCCCAGGTCTACTCAATAGTGCTTGGAACCCGATGGAGTGAACGGTGCACAGAACATCTGTCGGAACGCGGTGCCATACACTCCCTACCTCCTGAGGGTCCAGGTACCCCCGTACTTCGGATGGTCGTTGCCGGAGCTGAGTACGTGCGAAACCAGAGAATGGTCGTTGCCGGGGGCGTCTGGCAGGACATCCGAGCAACGGATGGTCTTCGAGGCCCCTTAGGGCCGGAACGGCCCCATGGTGGAAGTGGATGTCATGGCCCCGAGTTCGGAAGACCACGAAATCCACGATATACACAGGTCCGGTGGTGCCATCCGGTGGTGCCATCCGTCGTCTCCATGTGAGTTCCAGGGAACGTAACTCAAAGCTTCGACCTTCGCTGGCCTTGAAATACCAGGCTCCATGCCACATTCCAGGGATCATCACGATCACGGTCTTCTTCTCCTTCACGTCCCCACTGGCGGGCACATGAACCACCTGAGGCCAGAAAAATGGGGATTGAACATGATTGAACAATAGGCCCTTGAGGCCCTTGGGAGCTATTAGAGGGGTTGATGCGTCAGGTACCATACACCTATTGCTGAGTGTACTCAGTGTACTGAGGTATACTGCATGTAAAAACACATCTATACCAGCACCTCCAACAGGTCACTCATTGAAACCTGTTAGGGCCTTTCCCAACCCTCCATGTCGGAGACCTGCAAACGCTGCCCCTGCGATAAGGGGGTAGAACGATCTGATCTGCCAAATGGTTGGATTTCATCCTTACCCAACTGCTCCATGTATGGCATGGCATACGGTAATAGTGCGAATAGTGGATACCAGGACCCTCCAAGGGGTGCCCTGTCTGGAAGCCTATAGGTAGTGTGGGGTAGTCCATTGGACACCCCTTGGAGGGTCCAGGTAGGCTTTAAATATGTTTTAAATATGAAAGAAACAACCATGTGAGCTGCTAAAAGGGTTGTTGACAACACACAAGAGGATTCGGGCTCGTGCAAGCCGCATAAAACTCTTCTCCACAAGAGGATTCACCCATACTTGTATTTGCTAGCTACATAAAACCGGCAAACAAAAGCAGAAGGGGATTCACCCGGTTCGGAGAAAAAAAACCAAACAAATCACCCGATCAGCAAGAACAAATTGGACAAAGTTCCTGCAACAAAACAATTGACCCCAATAGCAACACGGATCAATTCGCTCTTCCCAATACCATGGTTCATGGCTCACGTAAACGGATACAACCAAACATGCAAAAAAAATCTATAGCGTTGCCTATCGGTCTTGACCCACAGCCCAAATGCAATGGGTTTTGAGATGTGTTCAAGGTCCGCACCACCCTACCGTTGCCTCGGTGTCCAAGCATTCTGAGAGTGGGTATTACCGAGTGGCTTGATTGATTGGAACCCACCAGGTCACCACCCTACCTGACGTCCCTCCGCTGTCCGAAAGCAAGCGTCCCAACAGGTGGGGACCGAAGCGTCCCGTTCACCACTTCGGGACCGTCCGTCCCCAACTCCACGCGACCCAGGAGATCCACGTGATCCACGACTCGACCGGCGTCCACCCACAGAAGCCGGACACTCCGTGGACGAAGCGAGTGCATCAAGCGTCTACAGCGCAGCCAGTCGATCTAGCGAAACTGAGGCAGGAAATCACTTAGCCTTATTCTTCCAAGAAGCTGGAAGAATTTTTTGAAGTTTCGTCGGTCGAAACAGCGCAGAAAACAAGGCCTTGCAAGGAGGACAAGCACATATCAGCAAACATATCTGACTCCCTCAGTTTCCCTGGAAAAAAGGGGCTAACCTTTCTCCAGCTGTTCGCATCTCCCATTGCTAGGCGAGGCCTAGGCGTTCGCCACCCTTCCCGCAAACACCCTGGTCGTACGGCCAGACCGGACAAATCTCAAAGTGAAAAGGAAAAGAAACCGAACATCACATACCAAAAAAGGTTGAGTGACCTTATATAGGACCGTAACCTGGGGTACCGAACTGGAATAGGCTAGTTCGGGTCCTTCAACCTCTGTTGGTATTTAGTGGGAAAAAAGGTTGAAGGTTATCAGAATCTACTGACTGGGTAGGATACCTGCAGGAAGCCCCAAGAGCACGTGTTGGTCTGCACGTCCTACCGCACGCTGATTGGTCCGCCACGCCACATTCACACGCTCCGACTCCCGCTTCCAGCAGCAACGCTTCCAAAGGAGCAAGGCAGCAAGTCCGCCGGCCGCGGCAGCAGCAAGGTGTTCTTGTGTCATGGTGCGATGAAGTAGGGGCAGGTGAGTTTGTTTTGTGTTTTTATACTATATCACATAGATGAGAAGATCTGATGTCATTACATGATGTACTTTAATTGCTGTTCACACCTAGCAGCAGGTGTGCACCAGGCATACCGGATTTGACGTGTCAGAAGGGACTTCCAACCTGTACACCAAAAATAGTTATTATATAACCAAACGAATCCACTTGGACCATTTTGCTTTCGGAGAAGCACCCACAACTGTCATGCACGGCTCATGCACGGCTCGTTCTGAGCAAAAGGGTCGGAAACATGTGCTGGACTTCCCACCACCTTTGACTTGCGGTGGTTTCAGAAGTTCAATGGCGCAAACCTCAAGATGTCCTTCAGATGAGGCTCCATATAAACCATCGTGTGGACATTGCGCGATCCATTACTCTAGAACCACTTCCATATAGTTCTCACTGTTTGACTAAGGATTTTGGACGACCACACCGGCTCAACCATGCTTTGAAGGGTGTTAGAAGGCTAGGGAAATGTTCTGGCATGGCACCACAATCACAATGCAACTAATTGGGCCTCGGGCAAATGGCTGTACATCGAACAACCGCGTCGAATAACCCCATCCCGCCAAACCAACTTCAGATTGAACATTCCCTTGTAGCAAGTCCACTCGTATCCTGAAGTGACTTGGTGAAAACAACCGAAATCAGGAAATGACATTGTCAACACACATTCGGCTTAGAGTGGATAACAACATGCTAAAATGATCTAAAATGAACATACCCACTCGATCAACGACTGTCCACCGACGACCGCAACCGCAAACAAAAACAAAACTGATTTAGCACATTCACATTGCTGTTAATTTGGACCTGACCACACCAAATTTATCTTTAACATGCACCTAGCACCGCCAAACCCAGATGTGTTGAAAAAATGCCAAGTAAAACGCAACTGCCAGGGGTCACAAAGGGGTAGTGTTTATGGGCACCCTTAACCTCCACTAGGCATCCCTTTGTGACTCCTGGTGTACATCCCCCACGGCCACCCCTGACAAAAACGATTTGTCGAACATGCCCACCGCCCAACCCATGCGGGTTTAATCAAAACTGCTGTCCAGCATGTGGGCTCCGTTGTCCAATGTTTTGTCCTTGGTTGTTAGCCACTTCAGTTTCGTAAGAACGAGTATTTCCCTCCACTCCCTCCCCAATGGCAACCATGTGCAACCAATACGAGACACTCCATGGGACTGTCATAAATGCCTACATGAAACCACCCCACTGTAGGCATATATGGCACACATGCAGTGTCTGGGAATATCAACGAACATGGGCGCTTCCAAGCGGACCACCAGCAACCTTAGGAACTTCGAAAACGGCCCCATCGTGCCTGTGAGTGCAAGCTCCTCTGCCAAAGTCTCTTGATCACGCAGCGGTAGATCACCTCACGGCACCCCGGTTTCCGTTCGACCATTCGAAGAGTCCAGCTGACCTGGCTTCGCTGTCGGAAACCTTGGTGGAACAACAGAAAAAACCACAGTGCAGGCTTGGGATTCAGGTCTTTGAATGAAACGTGGGCCTAGGGTGTCTAGAAAAAGGCCCCTGCTGGCGAGGCTGGGACGCCTGTGATTTTGGCACCACGCAGCCCAAAAAAAGGTTGCATTGACGAAGCAGCACGTCGGAGTATCCGGACTCTTGGAAGGCACATGAAGGCACCAAACTTGCGCCAGCTTCATGCACCCCACAGCCATGCCGCCATGCCCCAGGAAGGCTTTTAGAAGCTAAGCGGCTGCATAGACCGTGTATTTACCCCAATACCTTGCCATGATGCGTCCTCCACCTGCATCCTAAGAGGTGACGGTATAGTGGCAGCTGTGATCTTGGACCGTATGCTATGAAAGCTCTTAGTCGAACTCCAGGGCTCTGCGTGCGGACATTCGTTTGTTTGAGAACTCTATCCAAGAACTCTCTCCCAAGGGGGTGGTGCCTTCAAGCATGTGCGCGGCGCGGCCAGCGCGACGGAAAAGCACGACGTCCTGTTTGCGCTGGCTCCTAGGGCTTCAAAGGGCAGTGGTGTCTAGTTCAACGACATTCGCAAACATTATTCAGCAGTGCCATGTTGAGGTGTGAAACTTTGAGGGTATGCCCAACTACTCCACTCACTGGGACTCAGAACAGTTCTGGGATACTCAACCCCTTTCTGGGATACATCATCTGAAACGTGGCAACCATGACAGCAAACAATGTAATTGTGACTTCTTCGTAGGCGTTGGCCGCCAGCAGAAGGGGCGGTCCACCCATCCTCGTCCTCCTTCACCAGGAGCCCAACCCGTCGAACACTCGAAACGCGGAGAAGACCTATGGGTTCTGAGGGCGACAGCCCAAAGGATGTCATGCCTTGCTTTTTTTTCTCAATCTCTGTGGCTCGCACTCTCATCAACTTGAGAGGAGGGAGACACGAAAGGTAGGACAGCGGGAAGAGAAGAGAACGCGAGAGGCAGGAACAAAAATGCAATGTTCGACATGGTGATTTATCCCCTCGGAGGCGACCTGTCGTAAATATATGTTCATATGCACTCTAAATGTTCAAACTTTTGCACTCGAAATGTTCAAAAAGATTCTGAGGAAAACAAACTTGCCCCATGGCTCAGATCATCGGTGAGCATTGAATCGGAGCATCATAGGATTTGAACTATCCTGAAACCATAAGAGGCTCACGAA